ATCATGATGGAAGCTACTTTTTGTCCGGGTTCAAGTGCTGTGCTCTTCTCAAACAAATAATTCTCCAGCCTCCTTTTGTTACCAATCTTGCTTTTACTTCAAGAAACAATAAAAAAAAAGTGGGGGAGGAGAAATCGATGTTTCTGTTTCACTATAACCAGACAAGGAGCTTAGGTTACTTTGGAAGCATCATAAAATGAGCCAAGATAAAAGGAAATAGTAGCTTAATATGTACCATGGAGAATCCATATAAAGATGGCGGTAGTGCTGAATATTTCACAAAGCATCGGCATCACTTTGGAAAATTTCTCTTTAGAATCGATTCTTATGCAAATAGAAAATGAGAAAAGAACAAGTAAACATCAGGACACAGGACAAAATTGCCAACCATGCAAAATATGGCAAATGAAAAAAAAAGAAAGAGGAAATAATCAGACTTGTTTAATGCTTGAAACTTGAAGTTTCAATAGGATCATCGATGAGCCCTAATTTTTTTTTGTCTCAATATGCAATAAGATGATGGGCAGCAGCATCCCTCAAGGGAGAAAGAGAAGATGAATGGCAGCAGAGGAAGATTGTATTATGATGTGTACATGCACGCAAAGAGGTTCTGACATAAAGAACGCAAAAGAACCAAGTCTTACTTTGGAAATTAAAAAAAAAAAAGAATGTAAAGAACAATAAGTGGGAAAGTTTTCCAGAGAAATTAAACGTTCATCATATTAACCAATGAACAGACCAAATTAGAGTATCCATAGTCGAAAACAAATTTGTATGTCAGTGCACTGGAGGAGAGAAAGCTTTCCACAAACTAATAGAGACTCAGTTATCTGTGGTTACTGCTTAAGATCGATCTATAACTACGCTAGATATGATTCAGCAGAGCAAATCGACATATAGGAGGAAGCAACATAAAAATTGAGATATTACAAGATATGATTACAAAGATGCAAAGAAATTTTTGGCAGGATTGTTGTAATGATCTATTTGGTTCACAAAAGAAATCACACCAAGGAGGGCATCATTAAGGAATACGAAAAGAAGCACAAATACATGATCATACCAACTGATTTATCATTGTGAGTCCAAAAAATTGATGTATGAACAATAAGAGACTTCGATGAATAATAGTACACAGTACCAATTTGGACTTAGATACAACCCAAATTAGGCTAATTGCAGGATGATCTCCGTGCAGCATCAGCTAATTTTGCGTCGAAAGGCATAGTTTTGTTTCACCAATAACACATTCCAAGAACAAAACTAAGATCTTTATGTATACAAATGTCTAGATCTACAAGAACTAAACGCAGCTGAGCAGAATCCAAGCACGGTAATTAGATCGAGTAATTAATGAGCAAAACAAGCAAATATGAAGTAGATAAGAGAGATTTATACGAAATAGGCAGAGAGATACCTCCTCTTCCTCACCCCCGCCATCTTCCTCGTCGTCGTCGCTGTCATCGTCGTCGTCATCTCCGTCACCGCCTTCGTCCTCATCCTCATCTTCCTCCTCGTCATCATCCGCCGCCTGCACTTGGGGGCGATGCCCCTGCGGTGTGACTTCCTCCACATCGTCATCTTCTTCTTCTTCCTCGTCATCATCATCATCAGCATCGTCGTCATCATCATCGGACCCCTCACCATCGTCGTCGTCGTCATCCAACTCCACGATCTCCTCCGGCTCCTCGTCGTCCTCCCCATCCTCCTCCACCTCATCGTCATCGACCTCATACACGTCGGCTTTCCCGTTGACGCCTTTGATCTCTTCCTCCCTCTTCTTCTTTCCCGCGTCCATCTCCCTTTTCTCCTCCTTCTCAGCCGCCGCCGCCGTCGCTGCTCCCTTCATCTCCTCCTCCTCCTCGGATGCAGAACGAAATTAATCGAAAAAAAATCAAGGGAAAAAGGGAATCAAAATCGATCGAGAAATAGAGGAGGAAGACGGCGGGCTGAGGGTTTGGGATCCCACGAGCGACCGGCTTCAGGGACGGACGATCTCCACCGTCCACTGCTCGCATCGCTACGCGGATCGATGACGTGGAGGCCGATCCGCTCAAGACGACGAGCGCGGAGTTGTGCTTCGCGGCTCACGTGATCTGGTCGCCTCCCTCAGTTCTCCCTGCGGGAGTGTGCTGCCGCTCACGTGAGCCCATCCTAGGGCTCACGTCACCAAGGATAATTCTCGCATAAAATGAAGTAAAAAAGAGGTATTCTCACTCGCGGGTATAATCGTGTTCCGTGTGAACCATCGACACTGGAAAGAAATGGATCTCCAATGGAAAGACGACGCGTGGACCTAAATAAGGCAATGGAGGATGTCCACACAGTCAAATCATCAGCTCATTTGCCACGTCATTACAACCAAATCAAAACGAATAATATTCTTCACAATTATCTAAATTAGAAAAAATTCTTCCCACTAATTAAAAATCTCCTATTTCTAAGATACATATTTTTCCCACTAATTAGAATCTCAATTATAGTAATTAAACATACATATTTTTCTAGTTATAAATTTATAATTGATTTTCACGTTTTTTTATTTGAATATTGGAGGAGAAGTTGTCGAACATATTTCTAACACTCATCTCCTTTTGCATGTTTTTTGGTTTGAATTATTCACTCCAATATATTATCACCTCGTGTCCTCCACTTCGGCATACATGTAAATGTGTTTCATATAAGAAAATCATATAAAGTTATACAACATCAATGTACAACAAAATCATAATATCATAATTATTTGAGACTGATATTTTGTCATTATTAAAATTTTAAATTGATTATGATTCTTGTTCATCACAACTATAGTTTTAGTTTTGTACGAGTTTTGTGATGATGTTGGATAAAGTCAATCCATCTTCATTATATATATATATATACATATATATATATATATATATACATATATATATATATATATATATATATATATATATATATATGTGTGTGTGTGTGTATATATATATATATGTGTATATATATGTATATATATATATGTATATGTATATATATATAGAGAGAGAGAGAGAGAGAGAGAGAGAGAGAGAGAGAGATCCATATACTTAACACATTGTTGATCAGTGATAAGTCTTGAATTCAACTCATATGTAAACATGATGCACTTAATTTAATGTAATATACATATGTATACATGCGTATATATATGATGAATTCTATAAAGAAATCTTTATAGAAATCTTTATATGATGAATTCTATAAAGAAATTACATGCGTATATATAATTTTAGTTGGCATCCAAATTTTTAAAAATTTTCATAGAATATTTTTTTTCAAAATAATGATATTACCCCTATCGACCATCGCCTTCGCCTGACATCGTCACCTTTGTCAAACCTACCTCTACCTCCACGGACCCCATTGGTTCTCATCAAACCTACTCCTGTCTATCTTGCCTTTGCTGTTCTCGTCAACATCATAAGAGATCGTGGGCTCCAATTACCCTAACTCCCCTCCCCTTTGCCCTACCAAACTCGCCCTTATTTTGTTAGTCATGACTCTCTCCTTCCTTGCTTGCAACCCTCTTTCTCTGCACCTCCATTGCTAGCCACCAATGCTACGAGCAAGATCAACTAAGACGAGACACAGAAGAGCAAATCCAATGGGGGTAAGGGCAGCAATGTAGGATAATGGCGACAATAGATCCAACAGAGATGGGTAAAATGATATTTTCACACAAGGAAAGGGTACTCAACAAATTTTTTTAGAAATTAGCTCTAAGAGAAATTTTCAACACTATATACTTTTTCCAAAAATTCGCTCACACAGGCAAGAGCGCACATACAAAAAAAAAAAAAAAAAAATATATATATATATATATATAATAAATATGTATGTATATATATATATA